ATCATGCAGATAAAAGCAAAGACAAATGTCTCAGACTCCTTTTACTGGGATCCACTAGATTGACCTTGTAAAGGGAGTTAATAACTGCTGAACTGCAACATGACTTCTAGCCAAGGTCCATTAGATTAGCTCTCTAGAAAAGGCTCCTGACTGTGGTTTCCCTACATGGACCCTTCTTGGTTCAAAGAAATTAGGGATAGCTCTTCATGAAGAGGAGGGGAATATTTTAGACAGCTAAGTTAGGTAGAAATATTATAGGTAGTCAGATGGGCCTAGACCCTCAACAGAGACAGTGAAGAATATGAAAACACATCAAAAATTTCCTAGAGACACATCAAAAAAAAAAATTAAAGTCACAATGGCCAGATTTACATACTTCCTTAAGGAAGCTTCAGATTATTGGTACCACACTTTTGAGAATTCATGTATAAATGAACCATTGTCTCATTAGGGGTGAGCCATCCCCTCCCACCCACTAAGACTACTAAGACTAAGACTAAAGACAAGACTAAGACTATAGATTATCAACCAAAGTTAATGATATCATCCATATGCCCTTGCTACTGTTGGATCAATATTAGCTAAGTGGCTATACTTGTAATCTTATTGGTTGATTGTAATTTGATCCACATTGTTTTCACTCCTCATGACTTTGCTCTATAAAACTTTCTCAGAGAAGTGACCTCATTGGCTACCCATTCAGGACCCTTCCTATCTCTCAGTAGCTATTCATATCCCCCATTTCTATTCCTCATTCATTTTCCCCAATGAATTTTCCTACTCCTAACCTCCACTGTTCCTTAAAATTCATTCTTCAACTTTGGGGAACACAAACTCAGCATATCTGACATCCAACAGTTTGAGACTTACGTATTTTTCCCCTATATCACTTTCTCTGTATATGTATTTTTCTCTGAATCTTGCCAACACAGAAGTATCTGCCATTTTTTTTCTTGTAACTAACATTTTTTTTCTTTCTCTCCCACATGCATTGCGAGCTCTGTAAAGGAGAGATTTTTCATTCACCTCCACATTTTCATTCCCAACGTGTGTGTGGCAAACAGCTGGCACTAAGTAGCATTTATTAAATGAATGAATGGTTTGCACTTATGCTTAGAATCTTACTGCCTTGAAATACACCATTTTGTATAAGCCCAGTATCAAAATTAGTAAATACTTCAGGAGAATTTATTTGTCATATTGACATAATTCAATAAATATTGAATTTTTATTGAGCTCAAAAAATAAAAGTAAAAGATTCAAGAGAGAGAGGGGGAAGCAACAAACCTGACCATTAGGGTTTCAGTTATTTAATAAATCAGAGAATGTATAAGTGTACGGCTGATTGCTTCATGGAACTCACGAGGTTATTGGAAAGTGATAGCAGTAGCTAGAGATGAATATCATTAATCCAAGAAATACATATGAGTGTCTAGTTAATGCTAAAGTGTGCAGTAAGACTGAGCTTATGTGATGAATATCTTAGCATTCACCAAGCTGTAATTACTTTGAATATAAAAGAATGTTTACTTGGCTTGGATAAATCTTAAAATATTTAGTACCCTGGAGGTAAATTTTGAATTCAGGGAAATAAGAAATTCTAGCAAGGAGTGGTCCCTAGTTCCATGAGAGGTTCTAGTTAACAATGTGCTACTTGCACCTGATATCTCCTTGGTGTAGCTGAATCCCAAGTAGAAACATTAAGGATAATTGTAAAAACTACTTAGATTAATACCAATTTTGTTGATCCATATATAAGGAGGAAAAAAACCAAAATAGTAATATTTTAGTCAAAATTATGAATGTGATGCCACCTCATTTAAACCTGCCTATCCCCCTTACATGGGTACTATTGTGCTTTTCTAGTGTTAATTTTGTTAGTTATCTTCCTCACCTGTCCACCTCTGGAAATCTCTGGAGAGGCAGTTTTTATAACAAAAAGTATCATGGCCTTGGGTACCAATTTGAGTCTGCTCTTTACTTGAATGTTTTGCAAACTCAAACAAAATTGGTTTTCCTTCTCTTCCTTGGTTTATTTACTTGGGTCAACCTAAATAACGACCAGAGAGAAATTCCCCAAAGAATAATATTTGTTAGGCAACAGAAGAGTAGCACAATGGAAATGCACAAGGGGAAGTTTCTAAATGCAACCATGAAGAGGATCCATTGGATATTTTGAAACAATAGCCCTTGACTGAGCCTACAGCTGCTGACCACATGTCCTCACAGGAATTTTTTGTGTGTATATATAAAGTTGTATGGGCTTTTTCACAAGATTGTGGTTCTGGCACAGTTTTGTGCTAGTTACTATTAGACATCATGACAAACCTTCATTCAGACCCCCTGGTTCTGTTATTTATTTTGTTAGGGTTGATACAAGTGACTCCATTTTGATCCTGACAACTTCTACACCAGAGTCTGGTTAATTGCAGATCTCACAAAATCAAATGAGGTGAAACTCAGGAACCCCTGACCAGGTTCCTGGGAAAGGGGACCTGATGAAGTTTTCCTCTTTTTTTCTTCCTCAGAATTAGAATCCCTGGCACTTCAGCTTCTGAAAGTCGTGGTATTTCTGTTTTCTGCCAGCTCCTGTGGTCCAAAGTTCAGTGTCAGAAAGAATTAAGAGACAAGACAACACAGGGCCAGGAACCCAAGGAGAGGAATTCCTGTCTCCTCTTTGCACCTCCAAGGTCTTCTAGGCCACATGATTTCTTACATGAGTTAGACATTGTTTGAGTAAGGAGGATGAGTCTCCCAGAAAGAACTGGAGATTCAGGAATTTTTGGTTTTAGTTATACAAAGTAAAAATATTTGAAATGGATGAGTACTCATAAGCATGTATTTGTTATTACTACAATGTTATGCTTTATCTTCATTTTTGGTTGCTATTCAATTAGCAATAGCTTGGAACACTTCAGCTTTTAGTTTTTTCCTCTGTTAAGCAAGTAATGATCTGTTAAAAAATACTTAAGAAAGTCTTACTTTAAAGGACCTTTCTATCCTTTTGTTATGTTAAGAACCATTTCCTGGTGCAAATGAGTGCACTCTCTATTTTGTAGGTAGGATATTCAGGGACTCCATTTACCTGTTCTGTTTACAACTCAATTATACATAATAGAGTATATACTAGTTTTCTATTCCTGCTGTAATAAATTACTGAACTTGCCAGTATAAAACACAAAAAAAAATTTTCAGAGTTTTGTAGGGCAGAAGTCTCATCCAGGAGAACTTAGCTGAGCTTTTCAACAGGACAGAAATTAAGGTGTGGCCATTATCTACTTTTTTGTGTGTGTGTGTTCTAATAGAGAATTGGTTTACAAAATTATTCATATTGTGACAAAATTCAGCTCCTTGTGGTTCTAGGACTGAAGTCCCTGCTTCCCTGCTCTCTGTCAACTGGGGGCCTCTGTATCCTAGAGCTGCAGACCACTTGCTTTCTCTTTCATGTGGTCCTCACCATCTTAATACCAGTTATGGTGCACTGAATGCTTCCTTATTTTCATATCTGACTTTTTCCTCTGCTATTTCTGCTACCTCTCAGAGAAAAAAAGAATTACTCAATGTCACTTTTTAAAGTACACTAAGACCAATATTATTTGGACCATCGTGACAGGTGTAGGGAACACAGTAGGATTTGCGGTGAAGGAGATATTGGGATCAACTCCAAATATAGTTCAAGCAAATGGGAATTAATAGCCAAAGAGCAGGCTGGGGGTTGGTGGATGGAAAATAACTAAGAAGTGACCTTGAGAATAAAAGATTTTCTGGCTAAACAGATCTAACAGGATTCTTGCTAAAATCAAGCTAGTGTGGTCAGACTTCATCTGGGGGCAGATGGAGGTTGAGGAACCTGATCAGACATGTACAACAGAGTGTTCTTGCTAAATTGACTTAGCAGAGATGTTGTTAAAATTGGATTTTATAGGGAAGTGTGCAGGTAAGCCTAAAAGAAAGTTCAGGAACCTGAACAAAGTTTGGTCAAGCAAAAGATCTCTATCACTTGACAAAGTCCTGTGCATTTAAAGGCATATGATTAGGTCAGATCAACTGCATCATATAATACAACATAGCCATAGGCATGATATCTTTTTACAGTCACTGGGTCCAGGGATTAAGGTGAGAAATCGTGAGTGCCATTCCTAGAAATTCTGTCACAATACATCTTGTTAAATAAAAATTACAGGACACTATTGATTTGGACTGAGTTCCTACACCTGGCTCCAACAGACAAGACACAAATCAGAATGGATAGGGCCATGCTCTGCCTTATCAAGCTGAAGCTAAATTGTCATCTTGTCATTGTGTTACTGGGCTTTCGGGCACTGGAGTCTCCTTCTAGAGGTGGTTTCTAGGTTCCTTATGTACTGAACAAGGAATTGGTTAAGACAAGTGCAAAGGGTAGAGAAGTTTTATACTTATTAAAGGTAAGAAAAGAAACATGCTCTGGTGAACAAATTTGGGCCAACTAATGGTAAGAAGAGAGATGCAGCCTACAAACAACAGGGTGGGATATTAAAAGAATCAATAGTGGTCCTGGCTTGACGGTGGTCATCTTTTTATATCTCTCACTCCTTAGGGTGATGTTAAGTCTAGGCCAGCCTATCAAAAACCAGAAGAACTGGAGATAGGACTCTTTGATTGGTTCCATGTGCAGGGCTTTGGGAACTGTTCCAGCCAGTTTGTCATGCCCTAATCTCCTGCCCCAACTAGGAACAGGGATGAGATCACCCCAAAGAGGAGGTGGGGACCCCAACACTCCCTGTGGATTAGGTTCTTGGCTCATTGTCACAGAAAAAATATTTCAGCATGTATTGGTGAGAGGTAGAAGCAGACTTATTAGGCAGAGTTAGAAAGTTAGAAAAAATAAGAAAAGAATTTCAGCTTTAGAAGTTGAAGGTGGCAGAGCTCTAGAAAAGAGGATCAGACTGGCTTGCCAGAAAAAGAATGAGACCAATCTTTACAGATTAGCTGAGGTGGGCCAGGGGGTGTTTGAACATTACCTCAGTTCCCATTTTGCTGGATGGCTGCAGAGGAAGTCATTATTGCTTGATGGGCAATTCATTCTCCATGAGAATATTTCTGTTTGGGGCAGTCTCAGTCCTATGGAAGCTCTACTGGAATCCAAAGTGACCACAGGTTTAGGGCCATGACTGGCAACTTCTCAGCACTAGTTGAACTTGTCTGTAAATCTTTTATCTTAATGTCTTGAAAAAGAATGAAATAGGTTATGTTAATTCAGAGTTAATTAACTTTGTCATCTTATAGATAGACACTCCCTCAATGATTAACATTCCTAAATACAGAGCTAAACAAGCATTTGACCCAAAGTTTTAAGGTAATAAAGGAGACAGAGGCAACATAAAGATAATGCTTTATTCTACTTTTAGGTGTCTATTGGGCATCTGTATGACCAAGAGCCACTATTTTTGTTGTTGTTGTTTACCAAAAACAGTGTTTAAGTCCTTGATTGCCTCAGAAGAAAACACAAATCATATTTTTAGTAAATAACAAATTAAGGGCCCAAGAGTTTGTCTTCTCCCAGGAATGTATTTATCCTCTGTCCCTAAGAGGGCCTATATCTATGTCAGTCTGACCTTTTAAGAAATCAGGAGTAGAGAGATAATAGGCAAATTTCCCACACAGGCCACTTTCAATTGGGGTGTTAATGACATTCCCTCTGTTTAATCCTTACACAAAAAAGGCAAACTGAACTAACCCAATGGTAAGTAATCACTTATTTTTTTATTATTCTGTCTCCATCCCCACCTTAGAAGGAAAGTAACATTGAAATGACCATTTCACCTTTTCCTCTCAGTTTTTGCTTCCTTTAGCCTTTCTGTCTATATAACCAGTTTTCTCTGCTCATCCCATCAGAAAATATATTTTATGGAATCAAGTATTGCACCATTCTAGATTTGGAAACAAAGCCTATTGTCATCTTTAAATTTGTTGTAATTTTATCCTCTGACAATCTCCAGAGAGTAATGGCTTCACACTGTCTCTTTCTCTATCCACCTTCCCTTGACTGTTCTTAGGGAAGTTGCACTCCTAGGCAGGAAAGACTAGGAAATTAGATAAAAGTATACACAGTACCACTGACAGAGAAAGAAATCAAATAAAAACAGGGATTACTCAACAATTTTCTTGAGTTAGCATGGCTTTCAGCTGAACTCAAGTTCTGAAGTGTCTAGCTAAGACGGAGGAGGAAAATACATGAACTCAAAGTTTTCCTATAAAGAGTAATCCCACAGAGGTGCTAGATCATAGATACAATGCCTGAGAAAGAATCCAGGCAGTCATCCTAAAACATGGAACACTAGTATGTTAATTATTTTAAATTAAAAGAACTTCAAAAGCAGTAGATACTTGTGTCCTGTAACTGAAGACAATGGTCTTACCCCTTAGTGAGTGGAAAGCAGATAAGCACAACTGGGAGATAAAGGGTTTATTACTTGCAGCAAGTAAGAAGCGCACTGGAGATAATTCTCTTACTTCCCCAAATGTAGTGACAGGCTTCTATTGGGGAAACTTACACACATTCACCTAGGATGGACTCATTATCACATAGAGATAAGCTCATTCCTGAGGATCCTCAGTGCAAGATCATACATCAAATGTCAAAAAAAGAGGTGCAAAGAAATGCATTTGGGTAGAAAATTTTAGTATTATAATGAACAAAATTTATTCTAGCTTACCTAAAAATAATGAGTCAGAGTGACCGGATGGTGTTGGCCGGTCCTCAGTGAGTCTCTCTGGAGGGACTTAACAGAAACAAACAAACAAGCAAAACCAACTTTGAAGGAATATTAATTGCCATTTAAGAGGGAAGCAGCTTTTCCCCCCAGCCAGTAGGCAATTATTCCCAAAACTGCTTACCTAGTTGTTAACAATATCTTCTTTTCTGCTTTAAGTCCTGATCTACCAAGGAAGAAAATGATCACCTCTGGTCCTTTCCCTGAGTTGTCATTGAACTGAACTGATACCACAGAAAGAAAGACTAAGGTCTGTCAATGCACCTCAACAGAATTTTGTCACACTCCTGTCTTTCATTTCAGTCCCATTCAATATTTCAAAGACATTCATAATCCATCCTCTACTCTGTAGCCCAATGGATTTTGTCCCAAGCCATTGAATGTTCTTCAAAGCACCATGAATTCCTCTAAAAATCAGTTACCATTCCCCTCAAAGATTTTTCCTTCCCTGCTATTCCCTGCCCACTCAGAAAAGGGAGCATAGAAGCAAAATCAAGTTAGACTAGTGGGTGATCACACTATGTGAGTGTGTTAGGAAGGTAGTCAGTCACTAGTGGGCCCAAGGGACAAAGAGCAAGCCAAAGTAGCACGCTTCACTGGCTATAGTTAAGAATATCTCATTTTATAATGTATGGATAATTATTTGTTACATCTTAGACACAAAGGCACAGGGTCTCTATTTCTCAAATAAGGCATACAGCATTTCTGGTTTCCATATCCAGCAGCCCAATAATACCAGAAAGAACTTCCTTTAAAGACCCTCCTGATTTAGATTAGAATTTATCTTTTATAAATTTCTTTCCTAAGTTTCTTACATGATTAAGACCCCTAAGGGAACACTTGACCATCTACAAGGAACCAGGAAAACATTTGGCAATTCCAAAGTAAACTTTAAGAAAATTGTCAGTAAGCATTATAGCTCCATAGTTCCTTGAACCCCAGTGTAACTATTGTGTGCATATAAAGACATCCAAACTCAGTGAAGATGCCTAGGTATCACTGCCTGACTCCTCATTTGAAGATATAAATCTCTCAATATCTGCTTTATGATAAACTATCTATACTTCTGCATGGCCACTTGTATGTCTTGATTGAATTGTTTCATCAAAGACATAAAGAACTAAGGACCACAGAGCATGAAGTACGGTTCCTTTCATCATGGCCTAGCTTCCCAGTGACAATTGCTTCTATATATGTAAATAAATTCGTGTGTCTTTTCTCCTACTCAATCTGTCTAATGTCAGTTTATTCCAGCAAACATTCTGACAGTAGGAGGAAGGTGTTCTCTTCACCCCTACACCTGGAAATCTTCTTTGGTTGGAATAGAAATCTGCTGTTTGTCTATTGACTATTAGATTAATAAGAGGTGGATAGTTATAGAGCAAACAAGGAATAAAGTTCTTAGTAAAGACTAGGTATTTATTCTTTATGTGTTCATTAAAAAATTTATCTTTATATGTATTTGTATTTAAATATATGACCCAGTGTGTGGTAGCTGATCAGTGAATGCTGATGCTTACCATGTGCCAAAAACTGGTGTATGAGAGAGACAATAATGAACAAGACATGCCTAGTCCCTGTCCTCTCAGATTAACTTTGTAGGGCCTTGAGAAGTGAGTGGCCACAGCAGCACAGATGGTCCTGGATATAAGAAGAAGTGTTGGGTCCTGGGGGACGGCAGCCTTGCGAGAGTTGGCCCCCAGCAGCGAGGCATCATGTCACATGCTGGAAATATGTGGCAGGCCAAGAGATTGCTCAGAGTGAGGGAAAAAGCCAAGGTAGAAGTGCTCTGCTGCTTCCCCAAAACTCAAGTTCACCTGAGCCTGATCTGAGGAGGTGGATGGATGTCTTCAAACAGGAAGAATTAAACTAGAGACTTTAAGGGTAATCTCAGGATTATATGACCTCTGTATCATTTAAAATACATAACAAAATTTTATCTTGCATAGGACTTTGAGTGAGATAGTGATTCAAGCACAGGATGCCAACTGTCTCTCCATTAATTCCATTAGAAGGATTAATAGGTAATAAAAATAGGACAGATTTTCATCAGGCCAGGGTTGCAATGAAAAGTGAAAAATAAAATTGAGAGATTTGTAAATTATACTTTATTTTCATCCAGGGGAAAATAAAAAGACTCATGTGACTCTCCAAAGGGGCATCAAGTAGGCTGATAAAGTATAATCAAACAGAGCATTTGTTCAAAAGCAAACTTTGCAAAGTGAATTTGACAGAATCTTCTTGGCTGACTGGGATCTTCAGATGCCAAGAGAAGAAGCACTGGTGGGGAAGAGTGGTGAAATGCTATCCTCAGCCTAGAACACAGGAAGAGCAAAAAAAAGGCCTCTGGAGGTCCAGCTGCCCATCTGAGACAGGTCTGTGAGAAGCCTCCACCCCTCAGTCATCATATTAGAGAGGAACAAGGCTGAAGGCTGGACTGGCCTCTCTAGCAGCTCTCCTCCACTTCATCATGACACAGGCAGGCAATATTTAGAGCAACAGCACAGTGTCCCAGACTTCTGTGCTTATAGGAGCACCCAGGGTAGCCAACTTGCTCCTTCCCTGACATGAGAACAATGACAATAGCAACTGGAGGTCTTATCCAACACACACTGCACAAACACCATATTGTCCCATTTTACAGAGAAGAAAAGTGCAGCGCACACCCAAATAGCTTTCCATCGGTACATAGAGAGATCTGGAGCTAGGATTCTAAACATCATAACCAGGTCCCGGAAGCCAAATTTTTATCAATGACATCATATGGGCTCTTTCAGGAAGTATCCTGGCTGCTGCTGTGACTTGTAGCCAGGTTTCTGAGCCATTCGCAGAAATGGGCCCTGATGCTACCTCACCGAATAAAGATAATAAAAGAGATTAGAATATGGCAGTCTCAAGTGTTTCCTTTTAGAAAATGGCTTATTTTGAGCTGAAAGCTGTTGAAAATCACCAGATGTAGAAAGAAGCCTTCTTAGCACTTCTCTATTCTATCTCCAAGCAGAAACTTCTGAGAAATGAGAAGTGCTACAGCTGCTGTCCATGGGATTTTGTTGGTCATGAAGAAGATGATAGCACCAAGATAATTCTGCGTAAACCAGCCTTCCTAAAATACTCATATTCTTCATTAATGTCCCCACTCATTGTCATTACATAATTTACTGCCCTTAGAAGCTGCAACCCCATTTTGTTTTTCTAATCACTTCCCCACAATGTATCTCCCTTTGTTAAAATGGTATGTAACCTTCCAAGTCTAGACACTTCTTTCAGTTTTTTTGGTGAAACCTCCAGGTATGTAAAACATTGTTAAATTTTGTATTTATTTTTCTTCTACTAATTTGTCTTTTATCAGTTTAATTCACAAAATCCAGCCACTGAAAGATAGAGGAAAAGTTTTTCCCTACCCTACAATAAGAAGCACAGAGATTACACATGTATTAGTCAGCTTTCTGTCACTAGAACAAAATACTCAACACCTACCACTTAAAGGAGAGGTTTATTTTAGCTAATTTTTTTTAGGAGATTGAGCCCAGGGTGGATTGGCTCCAAGGCAGAAATGGTGTTATGGTGGAAAAGCTGCTCAACTGACGGCAATCAGGAAGCAGAAAAAAGGGAGGAGCCAAGGGCAAGAATATATGCCTCCAGTGACCCACCTCCAGCCAGTCTCTACCTCCTCACTTCACGTTTAGCCATAAACTCATTAATGGATTAATCTACTGAGGAATACAGTTCTCCTATGATCTAATCACCTTCAAAACCCCACTGCTGAAAATGTGAACCTTTGGGAGAACATTTTAGATCTCAACTATAACATTTTGCTCCTGGACCCCCAAAATCTCATGTCTACCTCATTATGCAAAATAGATTTAGTCCATCTCTAAGAGTTGCCAAATTCTTAACTGTTCCAGCACTGCTGAAAAGTCAAAATCTTTAGTAGCATTTGATGGATCTTTTATACATTTGTAATAGATAAAAATAAACCAGATTACAAATTCTTTTTAAAATCTTAAACCATGTACCAACCTTTTGGTTGAAAATGTGTAGGATAAGTTAAATTGCATTCTTTTAACCAATATGAGTATATTTCTGTAAGTATAGTTATGTTGACATAAAGTTGTGAAAAGCAAAAGCAAAAAAAATAGTTTCCTCTGAGCTCAAGGCAAACTCTTTGCTGTAAGCTCCTGTGAAAATAAAAAAGAAAGTTAAAACTTCCAACATAAAATGGCACAGGGTAAACATTTCCATTCCAAAAAGGATAAATAAAAGGATAGAACAGAATCAGAACAATCCAAGACCAAATCTGAGCAGAGCAAACATTAAATCTTGCAGCTCCATGTCCAGAACCTGGGGCAGGCTGGTTTGAGAGGTGAGCTCCAAAGGGTTTGGGCAGCCCTGGCCTTATGGCCTCGATAATTGCAGCCAACAATGCTTCTTTCACACTGCCTGTGGTTTTCCTCAGCAGATATATTTTACATTCATGACATCTCTAGTTTCCTGAGGTCTCCACAGTACTGCACTTTTGGTTTCACTCTTGCAGCTTCATACTTTACCCTTTCAGGAGCATATGGCCTGACATTTCAGACCTTCCTCAGAAATATGGGAGGAAACATCCATGACCTCACCATCCTGACATTCTGCTAGCCTGAAAAATCATTACCGCATGGATGACATCAAGGTCTACACCAGCTCAAGCAGTAGAATAGCCCCCTGGACTGCGGCTATTGTGGCTATTGAGTGTCTGGATTTCTGAGAATAGTGAAATGAATCCTAGAGAACCAATTCACTAGGAGGCCCTTCTTAAGCAGGCAACTCGGAGACTCTCTCCACAAATGAAAGCTGTGCAGTTTTGCATCTTTGACACTGTGACGAGTGAGGTCTTATTGATTCCTGAGATATCTTAAAGCCACTTTTCCTATTGTTCTGATACAAAATACTTGGCTTCTTTTCAATGTTAATCTTTGCAGCAACCATACTTTTTGTGGCCCCCATTTTATAAATGCTTCTTTTCTGGCCAAGCAGCAAGTGTTCCAAATTATTCTGTTCTGCCACTTGCTCTTGATTTTCATTACAAATCTAAATAAAAGCAGCCAGTAGTACTCATGCCACAGACTAAATATTTGGCTGTCTTGAAATCTCCTCCACCACATAAATTAGTCTACCACCTTTAAATTCAGCCTCACACAATATCTTGTTTTCATTATTTAGAGAATACTTCATTAGTTTCTGTAATCAAACCCACATAGATAAGACCTTACATATTTAATACAGTGTGATACCCCTGTACAAATGGAAAAAAATTAAGTTTAATGTTTCTAGACCAGTATGGCTGTTAATTTCTGTACAATGCCAACTCAACACAGTAAACTGGGATAACTTTTTCCAAAGTTGACAGCACAGTTAAAGTTTACAAAAATTCAAATTATATATATATATATTTATATTTATATAAAAGACCAATAATAGTAATATGTTATGCATCAATAGCAGCAACAGCTTTTCCAGGTTCTGCAGTCATCTGAACAAAATTAAGGAGACATCCAGCACACTCCATTTTAAAAAAAAGAAAGAAAGAAAGAAAAAAATGCTCAGAAAACAGCAAAGTTCTGTTTCTGTTGTGGTACCTGGCACCATTTTTTTATTAGCTTCTTAATCATCATCTGGAAAGAAAACATTCTAGAGTAACATCATTAAAAACAGCTCTGATAAAGCATGGTCACTACTACATACCATAAAGCAGGTACAAGATATTTTACATTCACAGAGGTATGATACAGTACTGTCCTACATCTATAATACTAGAGGATAGAGGAGTCACACAATATCTTAGGACATGGACAAAGCAAAATGTTTTGCCAGAATAAAATTTGCATATCTCTAGTTCAGTTTCTAATAGAGTCCTCATTCCTAACTGAGACCTCATGAATCTGGATTTTACTGTCTGCATTCCTACCATCATTCTGGTCTTCTGAATTCCTACAAGAGTTTCCCACAAATCTCTGATTACAGCAATTTGGGGCTTCTCCAGCCTACTTCCCCAAACTTTTACAAATTCTTTCTATGAAATGGTTTCAAAGGCTTCCAAACCACATGATCAGAATCAGACCCAGAACCACAATCTTAGTAACAAGTGTCTGTGTTAGTTCAACTTTCCTGTTGCTGTGACTAAATGCCTGACATCTGAAACTCAAGGACAACAGGTTTATTTTGGCTTATGTTTTTTCAGAGGATGCAGTTCAGGGTTGGTTGACTTTAAAATGAAAACAACATGCTGGAAAGGAATGGCAGAGGACAGGTGTTCAACCCATGGCAATCAGGAAACTGAGAAAAGGCAGGAGCTGTGGAGCCAAGGACTAGAAAACACCATTCCAGATACCAGTGACTCATCTCCAGCCAAGCCCAACCTCCTAGCAGCACATTTGGCTATGAACTTATCAATAGATTAACCCACTGATAAAGATCATGCCCCATAATCCAATCACCTTCCCCAGCCACCACTACCCTGACCACATGAACCTTTTGGGGGATTTAGGTTGAATCCACAATAATGAAAATTAGTAAGATTTCCCAAGGTTGTTCCCCTCTCATTCTGCCCGGTCTTCAAAGATATCAGATTTGTTTCATCAGTTATCAGAGTGTGCTCTGATTTCCCCCTCTTTGTAGATTGAGAGAACATGCTCACAGATCATCATAATTCTCTAACAGAATTTATATTGGCTATTATTTCACTGAAACACAATTCTGGATTATGCATGTGTTTTTACTTCTGTCTAGATGTCCCCTCAAAGCCTCACATGGTCATAAGTGGAGCTTTTTCAGAAATGGCTGGATCTAGAGTGTGTGATGGTGGGATCGATTCATGATGCAATACTAAGATCAAGGATACTAAAATTTAGGGTGTGAGTGCTACCCACCCAGTAGCCTGGACAAAATACAAGGGATATAAAGAGCTGTGGTCATCCCTTGTTGCTTTGCTACCTTTTGCCCACCACGAACTGCTTCTCCTGTGCAATGTCTGTCTTCCATACCACCCTGCCTTGGAGCCAGCTGATTATGGACTGAAACCTTTACAAACTGTGAGCTAAATAAACCTTTCCTTTTTTAACTTTCGATGTTGGGTATTTTGTCTCAGCAGTGAGAAAAGTAACTAACAGCATAATATTACACTTCTTCGGAAGATACACTGGAAAGTCAGGAGGGAGAGTCTTTGCCTTGTCTATAGTGCCTCAAACATAGAAGTAGAATCACAAGGGAGAGGATAGTCTCACCAATGTTGACCCTTCTTGGCCACAGCAACATGTCCTGTGATGCCACGTGGGAGGGAGCTGGCTGAAGTAAATGTGAAGCAACAAAGTGGTTGGAAGCTGTAATCACAAGAGGAAGACGAGCTGGTCTCTACTGCCCAAGGAAAGAGGATGAATGGGTACAGATGAGAACACAGAGGCAATGAGCCTTTTTGTTCTTCAAAGCAAGGTCACTATATCATGGCTGTTTAGGGTATGAAAGGAAAGATCTGGAGTGAGGCAGCCCTAGAGTCAAAGGTCTGATTTCTTGTGCATAACTTAGAGCTGGTTGATTGTCTTATTTTGAGTCCCAGCCTCTTCTGTTCTATGGACACTATTGTTATCTACATCCTGTGTTGTTGGAATGAACTGTCATGAATATGTTTGCCAAGCACATCTAACACATTGACTCATTTTTACCCTCATCCACCCTTATTTATTCTCCATATATTGGTGCACACCCAACATGAACTTTTTAAATCATAAAGAGGGCCGTTCATTTTCCCCATTTCAACCCTTCAATGGCAAACAATCATCTGGGAACAAATCCACCATCTTCTCCACACTAGGTATGGTCCGCCCATGGCTGCTGCTTCAACCTCTCCTTTGCCATTTTCCCTTTGCCCACTGGGCTCTAGTCCCACTGACAAAATCACTACCACTCCAGGGGCCAGGGGTTTTATACACAGGACTGCACGGGGCTTTTGTACACATTTTTCCCTGTTATGGTCCTTCTCTGAATAGTTACATCACTTATCTCTAAAGTTCATAAGGTATCTACTCAAAAGGCACTTATCAGAACACTCTTTCCTGAACAATCTACCACAAATAACCATCCCTTTATGCACAATCTCCTTATTCAGTGGCACTCTCCTTTTTAGACATTAGATTGCATTTTTTTTCGTTGAGTTTATTGGTACATTTTAGGTATACAACACAATGTCATTCATCATTGGGAATTTGTATCATAAATGATATATCTTGTTTCTTATTTTTCCCAATTCCCCTGCCCTCCCTTCTACCCCTAATTTTTTTAACACATTGTAAGAACCAGTTCTCTATTCCCCAAAGCCCAGATCAGTGCTGGCATACAGATATAATAAATAAATATGAGTTATTTTTTTCTTCCTTTTTCCATTCCTTATCCTCTAGCACAATTACAGAAACTCATTTCTGAAAATATGAGATGAGACTTGTGTTTCCCTAACAGACAGAATCATGCCATTCCCTACTAATGCAGATACCACCAACTTCACCCACTGAAGCTGCATCAAGAGTACATGCTCTGTCCACTTCTTCCTCTGTGTCTTTACCACACTGAGCTTCCTGAGGTCTGCATCTATTTCCCCTGCTAGGGGGAAGCTGGAAGTGATAGATTGCTCCCCATAGCTGCCTGCTTTATCTTTGGACCTCTGGCTCCCTATTAAGCATCTAAGTGTGCCTGGATGTATGTAGCCCATTGCTAGTGTCCTTACAGGTACCTGATAAGTGTTATGATCCTTTATAGCACTAGATGCATAGTAAATAATAATATACTGCCAGATGATTACTATATGAGTGCTGCAGTGATGAACCACTCAGGAGGAAATAATAACTATGAGCAAATAGAAAAGCAAACAAAGAAACAATCTGTTGTGCCACACCAAAAAATAAATCTAGGAACAAAGAGATTTATTTGGGATGGAAATATTTTGATGACAAAGCCACAGGGATAATAGGTGTGTTTAAACGTTCCTTTTTCTGTGCAGTTTCACTTGGTATGCAACATACTGTTCTCCAGCCCTTGCTGTCATATGAAGAGGCCACACTGGGGTCAGGGAGGAGGCATGAAATATTCACTTGTCAAAGCTTGTGACTAGAAGCTGTGACTCAGATGCATTATGTCCAGGGAAAGCTGGTTTCGTTCTGACTCCAGCAGGCCAGCAATCAGGCACTCAGAAATGGACAATAATGGAATAATGGGGATGGTGATTCTTTAACAGATCCTAGTAATAAATGGGAAAATATTGTACAGTTTTTGTCCCAGTCAAGGAATATTACTGGATGTCTTAATGCCTAATAGGAACAAAACACATGGTGCTCAAAATTGGATTCTGGTAAAAACTGATGGATATACTGTATGATTCCATTTATAGAATAACCTTGAAATGACAAAATTATAGAGATGGAGAACAGATCAGTGATTGCTAGGAATTAGGTTTCGGGGGAGGAAGTTGTTATAGAAGTATCATGAAAAAGATTCCTTGTAATGATGAAAGAGTCTATGTCTTAATTGTGACATTATCAATACACATTTTTACATAGCCCTATATATGCCAACACACCATCAGTAAGAACTAAAGTGATGAAAACAAAGATCTGTAAGGTAATTAATAATATTGTAGCAGTTACATTGAGAAAGAAAACCATAATTCAAGTTTCCAGCAAAACAGTGATAAGCTTTTGTTTTTTTTCTTCAGTGTCCTCTGGTCTAAGAGCAATTCAAACTGAAACATATAGGTGGCCATCAGCACACACAAAGTCCTCCCAAAAAAGACATCTAGCTTTTGTTCTAGGAGCTGGAAAGGGAACCCTGACATCTCAAAGGTGATGTGGAAATTATATTTTGTTGTCTTACTCTTCTCTGGCCTCTCATGCCCAGCACCAAGTGATAGCACGGTAGTCATGGCAAAGGCCCATCTCTCAGTGGAGTAGGGATTCCAGGGGTATAGAAAGAGTGGTCACTATCTTTATCCATCTTCTCAGAATTGCAGTTGTGGTAGGGCATAGCCAGGCAGGGGATATGAAACACAGCACTTTGAAGAACCAAAAAGTAGTCCATTAGAAACCAATGACTGTGCTGTATCTGGGAGCTATACAGAGGGAGGACATCAAGAGAACACCCATAAAGTCAGTTAATAACTTCTGGGCTCATCATCAAGCTCTGCATAGCATACAGAATATGTACAGAACTAAACTGACAGACAAAAGATCGTCCAAATCTCTGATCAATCACAGGGCAGCATATACATGGAACAAATCTGAACAGCTCTGCAAGACAATGAACAGTGAGCTGAGATTGGGACCATGGTCCACAAAAGGCAAGTTAAAATGCATAGTAGAACCAAGCCAGGTCAAATGGGTATTAAAAGAACAATAAGAACACTTGTCACACACTTATATAAGACCCAGAATACAAAACAGGGTATTTAAAATATCCAAGGAACAATCCAAAATTACATGCTACAAAAAAGTCCCAGAAATTCTCAACTATCTTGGGAGAAGACAACTAAAAGACACAAATGTTAGGATGACACTCTGTTTGTAATTAGCCAATGAAGACTGTGGGGCAGCTATGAGACAAATAGTCCAAAAGAAATAGTAAATATTCTTAAAATCACTGGAAAACCAGGAAATCAGCAAAGAAGTAGACTGTATAAAAAAGAATCAGATATGAATATCAGAACTGAAAAATGTGTTAACAAGAATTTAATACCCACCAGAGAGCTGGATAGCTACAATGGGGGAAAAGGGATGGGAGAGGAGTGATCACAGTCCCAGGGATTTGTAGGATAATAACAAAAGATTTAACATTCATTTCATTAAAATCCTAGAAATAGAGAATAATCTTGTTGAATTTAATAGATTCCTCTCCTCTCCCCAAATCTCAAAAATGTATTCAATATCTGAAATAAAAAATAGTCATCTGATAAAAATTTTAATGTTGAGCATTTTTTCACATATCAAACGGTCACTTCTACTTCATTTTTACTTTATTAAGATTATTGGTACATTTTACGTATACAATATGATGGCATTCATCATTGGGAAATTGTACCTTTACACGCTATATCTTGGTACTTATTTTTTTTCCCATTCCCCTGCCCTCCCTTCAACCCCTCCACTCCTTCCTATTTGCAAAGTCTTTGTTTCTGTTTTTTCATTTCCCCATATTTATTCCTTTCCCTTCTTTCCTTTCCCCTACCCCTTGCACTTCCCCTTTCCTTTTGGACATTTTTTTCCTATTTCATATTATCTATTATACATTTTGATCCTTATTTACACTTTTAGTGTCTCACACCAGAGAAACTATTCAGTATTTACATATGTCTGTCCTATTTATTTCACTTGAGTATCACCTCAATGTGCATCCATTTAGCTATAAATGTCTCTAATTTCTCATTTTTATGGCTGAATAGTATTCCATTTTATTAAAAAACCACATCTTCTAAATCTAGTCTCCACTTGATGGGCACTTGAGCTGTTTCCAAGCTTTAGCTATTACAAACTGGGTGGCTATAAACATAGGTGCACATATATAACTGTGACACAATTCTTTTAATTCTATTGGGAAGATATCCAGCGGGGGATTGCCTGGGTCACATGGGACTTCTAATTCTAGTTTTAGTGAGGTATCTCTATACTGATTCCCACAGTGGCTGCATCAGTCTACACTCCCACCAAGAGTGCAGAAGTATTCCTTTTTCCCTATGACCCTGCCAGCATTTGTTATTGGTTGATTTCTTGATACCAACCATTCTTTCTGGAATGAGCTGGAATCTCAGTGTTGTTTTTATTAGCATCTCTCGAATGACAAGTGATGTTGAATATTTTTCCTTATATTTATTTGTTGTTTCTATTTCTTTGTCTGAGAAGTGTCTGTTCATTTCAGATGCCCATTTTTGGATTAGGTCTTTAAATTTGGGAGGTCTGATTTTTTTAAGTTCTTTATATATTCTAGATAGTAGACCTTTGTCTGAGGAATACCTGGTAAAAAAGTTTTTCCCACATTGTGAGTTGTCTCTTCACACTGCTGGTGGTTTCTCTTGCTGTGCAGAAGCTTTTTAATAAGATGAGATCCAAGCTGTTGATTCTTTGTGCTAGCTAAAGTGTGATGGAGGTTTTGTCCATGAAGTCTTTTCCCACGCCAAAGTCCTCAAGAGTTCTAGTTAACCTCTCTACCAGCAGGTTTAGTGTTTCTGTTTTAATATTTAGATCTTTGATCCATGTTGGTTTCAGTTTAGTGCATGGCAAGAGATATAGGTCTAGTTTTAGTCTTTGGCAAGTTGAAACCCAATTTCTCCAGCACCCATTTATCAAAGAGGCTATCTTTCCGTCAGTGAGGGTATT